CCGGTGCCCGGCTCCCATTGCTTGGCGCCTTCGAAATGCTAGTGAATGGCGCTCTGGACGACTGGAGAGGGAGGTTGCGTGAGTGGCTGTTCTGCTTGCGCTCCTCCCAGCCTCACGATGCCCTGGTCCAGCTCTCCCTACAGAGCGAGAGCACCTCTGCTGCCTCCACCGCTGCCATCCCAGCATGGCTTTTTCAGCGGCTTCCAAGTCGAGTCTTCTGGCAGTGGCTGCTCTGGGTGTATGCTCTATGGTTGTCGACCAACTGCCTGCAGAGCGTACAACCATAGAGTGTACGCCCAGAGCATCCACTGACGAAAGACTCAGTTTGGAAGCTGCTGAAAAAGCCATGCTGGGGTGGCAGCGGCAGCGGAGGTGCTCTGGTTCTGTGAAGAGAGCTGGGCCAGGATATTGTGAGGCTGGGAGGCGCTTGAGCGAGAGTGGAACATCTGCTTGCGCAACCCCCCTCTCCAGCTGTGCAGAGCTCCATTCACTGGCATTTGGAAGGCGCCAAGCCACGGGAGCCGGGCGGCAGCAAACAGGTGCTCACATGGCTTGGTGATACCCCAAGTCAGTGAATGGCGCTTTGCCTGGCTGGAAAGGGGGGTTGCCGGGTAGCTGCTCGTGAGCATAGTCACTTCATGGCTGTTGTGTTGCACTGCTGCGACAGCACAACACAGCCATTCGTCCATGAGGCTGTGCCCAGCTCTTTGGGAGCCCACTTGCAAGAGAGCAGCCACCCGGCAACCTCAAAACAATAAACCCTCCCTTCATAATAAGGCCCAAGCCATATTTTGTGGGTAAAAAGAAAATAAGACCCTGTCTTATTTTTGGGGAAACATGGTAGATTATATGCTATTCAGAACCAATTGAAAGTGATAAATAAAACAATGAGCTAATTAGTTTCTTATGCTAATAACTGATTAGCTGAAATAACTTCACTAGAAAGGCAATAGTTAGGTTCTTCAAAGTTGGAGATTCCAGGTGGCTTACATGAACTTGTTATAAAGGAGTCCCAAATATTTTTGTAAAAAATTGAAATATATATTTCATTTTAGTCATGAAAGGAATCATACAAAATCTTATAGCACTTATAAAAAAAACAATTCGTCTGCTGACATTGGTGCCTTAAGATATTGCTCTGAGGGGAGAAATAATTCACAATTAAATGCTGCATTCAGAGAAAGTGAAAATGAAGAAACCCAAAAGTCCAGGTTGCATTTACTAGTGGTGCAGTCTTTATAAGTTTTTAACTGTGATAAATTAAGTGCTTCATTTACACCTCCTCATATATGAGAAATAAATCAAACACAACATACATTTCCAGTGTTCTTCTATACAATGGGTATAATTCCTTTGGACTATACTACTAAGGAAGCAGAGATTTAATATTAATCTGAGGACCCAGATTGTTGGGGGGCAATATCCTGACTCTGTAAACCACTCAGAGAGGGCTATAAAAGCACTGTGAGGCTGTATATAAGATAGCTATTAAAATAGCTATTGCTATTATTTGTTCTTCAAGCTTACATAGCATATCAAAATAGCAGACAGAGGTGACAAACAAATGCTAAGGTTATGTCTGCTGAATGTACTAGTATGCAGCGTGTAAAGTAGGTATATTCTAAACTAACCAGAGTCTGGAATTGTGCCTTCCAGAAAAAAATTGTGGCTCAGTAGGAGAGTGCATGTAATAGATTCTTAGCATCATCAGGAAAAGTTGAGAAAATTTCCTGCCTGTCACTCTGAAGAACTGTTGCTCCTTTTAATGGACTATTTAAGCTATATAGTCAAAATATGGTGTACTGTAGTACAAAGTAGCTTCAGATAACCTTTCACCTTAATATAACAGATAATGGTCCCCTACTTACATACACCTGGTTCACATATCATGCTGAATTATGTGGTTTTTAATGTTTATCACATGGTTTATTTAGCATGTTATAAAAACCCAGCTGACCTATGTATTAAATTGGTTAAACTAACTATAACTGAACATACAGTATTGCATAAACTCAGCAAAACACACTGAACTAGGGGCCATTCATCAGCAACCCAAGAAGTCCCAGCAGAAGGTTTTTAGAACCAGTTCATTCTCCTGTGCAAAAGGTACTTTCTTTCACCCCAATTTCTTTTCTTTTGCCTAACTTGGGAAAGGAACAGGTTTTTCTTGCTGTTTAGGTTCACAACAACCCCTATATTTAAAGGCTTTTCAACCAGTACAAAACATTTAGGTCCTGTTTGTCAGTACGCTTACAGAGGAAACCTGAACAAAGAAATTAATTACATTCTGCAGTAGCGTTTAATACACAAACATGGGTTAAGCTTAGGAATTTTGTGCAGGGAAAGTTTAGGAGACGGCACAATTTAAACAAATGACAGCAGCTGTTACCCCTTCAGTGAAGGTCATTAAAATTACTGCCTCCAGAACTAGTATTTTAATATAGCAAATGACATACAGCAAGCTTTTCGGAGAAACCAAGTTGAACAAGGTGATGATGAAATACCAACTTTGTTTGGTTACTGTAAAAGGTCGCTGTTTCAATCGCAGTTCCTCTTAATTTAATCATGGGTAAATAGGAGGAAGCGTAAAAAGGCACTTGGGAACCTAAAATGCGAAAGCACTCTTAAGGAAGTCATGCAAATGCGTATTTAAGGTTCAACATGTCCACACTGCCTGCCAAAGAGAAAACGATTGGAGAACCCGGCCACAACCCGGGATAAATTCCTTCGCAAACCATCCCTTCCCACAAAGGTCTCGCGGAACTGCAGCTGTCCCAAAGCAACGAGCGGAGTTCCCGGAGGGCTGGGCGCTTACTTGCATAGAATCTGGTAACTGAAGGCGTCCTGGGCCGCTAAGGTGGTGGAGGGGAATCCCTTCTGGGCCGGGAGGAGAAGCAAGAAGAGGGCAGCCAGCCAGCGGAGCCGGAGGGCAGCAGCTCCGCACGCTGCGGCGAACGCGACGACGCGTCCCATGGCAGGCCGAGGGAAAGCTCCGCGAAGGTTACTCGGCTAACATGAGCGAGCAGAAAAGCAAGAAAGCGCACTGGCGGAAGAGTCATGTGACTCCCTCTCTCCCTCGCCCTCCCTCCGCGCAGCGCCAGTCACCTGACAGACCCGGAGCCTGTCACGTGCTGGTAGTCATGTGAGATGAGGCGTGAGGGTGACGGAAGCGGGGGCGGGAATGGAGACAGGTGGCGCAATCAGGGAAGGGACGCCTGTTCGTGCTTCTCGAATGGGCCCTCGGGCTCCCTCGCCTGGGCGTGATTTTGGTTGGCGCGGGTTAGAAGGGAAAGTCTCCCGCCCGGTTGCCTCGCCTGGGAAGGGCTTGTTGATGCCTGTAAGACGGATGTCTCTTGACAGGGGAAACAAGAAAGACTTAGACTTAGACCTTACTTAGAATAACTTTACTGTCTCTTTAAATGTACACCAGTCGGCATGCATTAAAATGAAATTTCGATATATACCTGGCAGAAATACCTTGAAACCTCCTCCCAAGGGGGGAGCAATAAAAACAAACCATAAAGTTGGTGTGTGGGATCTCTATTAATGCTTTGAGCTCTAAGCACTTAGCACTTATAAGCTGTATCTCCAATAATGGGAAGCGAGCTTCCTATCATCTTTTTGACTGTCCTTCCCATTCTCTGTATGGACTTTCTACCTGAGGCACTGCTGCCATCAAACCAAACTGATTGCGGTTTGTTAAAACGCTCTCAATTGTGAGTCTATAAAAAGTGGCCATGACAGAAGGAGAAAGATGTGCTCGCTCATCCGACACAGGAAGTGCAGATGTTTGCACAAAAGATGCATGAAGGAGCGAGCCGCAGGCTTAAAGAGAGATTCAGCTCTGTGGAGAAGCCATTGCTCCAGAGAGCGGTGTCCTTTACCTCGGTTCTGTTGATAATTAAAAGGATGGTGCAGGTTGAACATACTTTAAAATTAGGAGTCCTGCTGGATTATTGCTAGCCCCATCTTAGTAGGTGGGTATTTTGTTTCTTAGGGTGGGTGGGTGGTCAGATGCCTCTGGAATGTCCCAGAGGGAGATGCAAACATAATTCCCCCCCCCCCCAAATTGGTATTTGAAGAAATATTGCGTACAAATAGATGCTTCAAAATTATTGTTTGTTTAAACTATCCTTTACAAAGTAATACCATCCAAGTTAGTGGCCATCATTTATTTGAATTAGCTGAATTGTAGCCCCAAAGGGAGATAGGCAGCAAGTAAATTTAACAAATATAATAATTATGTGTTGTGTGAAGTGGTCCAACCAGTCACCTTCCTCGTGGCTTTGTTCATGTGATCACAAATTGATATTGTTTTTCCTACACCCAAACTAGGCATTATGCATTGAATAGAATACGGTGATTAGGTACCTTTTGCATAATACTTGTGATGTATAAATCTATTATTTGTTTGCATAACATGCTAAGCTGTAATGAGATTTGCTTCTTTGTGACCTTTGAAGTGTATAAACAAAAGGCATACAGTTTATATAAATATCCTCACAATGTGCTCAATTACGGTATACTTAATAAGTCGGGGGGGGTTTTGCATTTCTTATCTTTGGATCCTTGCCAGTACATTTCTTTGATTAAGTCTAGTGTATTATGATGCAAGCAACGTGATGCTGTTTCTTGATGATTACATTTTAGCAACAGCATTCTGTGCCTTATAGGAAATAATTGGGCAAGCAACATTTGTACAGATCTATTCTGTGTCCTTTTTTGCCTCTTGTCTGAATATTGTGGAAAACATGTATACCCATACAATATTGGCTTCCAAGAAGATGAAGCAAAGATAAAATAGTAGATCTAACTGCCTGGAAGTTCAAAAAAAAATTCATGAAGATGCTGATGGGTTTAGCATTTCTGGGTAGGGGATTGGGCAGGATATCAAGATTACACACAAATTGTTAGAATGTATTTTGTTTCCTAGAATCATTTGGGTGCCCTATAATGCCTTTTAGTGATGGCTTCTAGTTAGCTGTTTATACAAACATAAATTACAGGTGTACCAGAGCCAGCCCAGAGCACCGGATACAGTTGGGAAAAATGTTGGGATATGTCACGTGATGGCAATGTGATGCCACAAGTTTGACACCCATGTATTAAGTTAATGATAAAATGTATGGATTTATTCTAGCTTTTAAGAGATTCTAGCTTTTAGAAGGTTTTGTCTTATAGATATATCCCTTCAAATTATTCTCTTTTATTTCTTTGTGAAGAATATTAGCTAGACCTCCTCCTTCACATTACTGATATTCTATTGGAGATCTTATTCATTTTGTTATCCATTATAGTCAACTATAGTACACAAAGGGGAGAATAAATGGCAACAACATTCCTTTGAAATAAGCAAAAGGGTGAAATCTTGTTCATACAGACACCAATCACTATATCTCTCTCCATCGCCTTTTAACTCAGGAAACCAGTCTTGTTTTTTCTATTACCATCAGGGGTGGGTTTCTCGCCCCATTCCAACCAGTTTGGTTGGAACGGGGCCGGCGGCGTCCTCGTGCACGCGCGCAGCGCACACATGCGTACTAGTGTCCGTGCGATGCTCCAGTTGCTCCTGGAGGATCGCGCAGGTGCTGTATGCGTCCTGCACATGTGTGGAAGCGCAGAACTCATCAAAACCGGGTGAGGAACGTGGGTGGGTGAGTGGGCCCTTCGCTGTTCCCGGAAGTTACTTACTTCCGGGTTCGCTGACCAACCGGTTCGCGGGGACCGCCGCGAACCGGTTGAAACCCACCCCTGATTACCATATATTGCTTTGAACATTGCCTTTTGTTCTATAAACTTCTCACATCTTTCTTTTTGAGGATCTCATCAACTCCATCCAATCAAGACATTTTCAGTCTTCCCTTCTTCAACCTATTCACTTTTCCTTCTAATACTTGTTTTGCAACTTGACCCCCACTGTCGTGGGGGTGACAGTGTATTTTTTTTTTACTCTGTTGGTTACTCTAGTTGGCCATTTGTTCCTGGAAAAAACAGGAATGGAAAAATCCAATAGGTCTCAAGTCATAGGAACTGCTAGATTCTCACTCAGTTTATTAACCATATGTACTGAAACAGTAAAGGGGGAACTTAGATTACAAAAAAACCCTTGAAAACTGGATATGTTGTAAGCAAGAAAATGTACAAATTTTGTTTCCTGCTTCTTGGAATGTTATCCCCAGTGAATGCAGCCATTACAGAAAGCAGTATAAGAATTGCATAGATGTATTGATTTGGAGTTTCAACACAGTTGTTTCTTTAATACATTTCTCAGCCCAACTTATTAAAGGTATAAATAGCTGATCAACACAATCTTCCCAAAATAAACAAAGAGGCTATCTAAATTAATAATTAAATCATTGTCAAAAATTGACATACAGTTCCATGATTCAAAACTGTTTCCTAAGATGAAAAGCCTAGTGAGAAAAATAGCAAACTATAGACTGGAAAATCTTTTGTAAACTAAATGCACTCATGAGTGCACACGCATGCACATATACACCATTATTTACCAGAGCTGCTGTCATTCTATTTAATAAATCCATTAAAAATGCTGTTCTGAGTTTTTACAATCAGTCTGGAATTGAATGGGGTGTACTGAATTTTCCAAAAATGTTTGCAGAATGGGAAAGCAATGTGCATGGGCAATGCTACCTTATTCAAAATATCTTATTAAAAACACTTCCATTCAGCAGGTAAAAGCAGCTGAAATTAAAAGTGCAATGCAAAAATTGTAGGGAGAATAGCACTTGGTGCAAAGTCCAAACCATCAGTTTGCACAATGAAATGATAATTCATTGTGGAAGGGACAATGTTTCAAATTCTGGAACACTTCTTAAACCTCAAAAGATTACTTAAACAGAGCCCCTTTCTTTGTAACTTAACTTCTAATGAAGTCCTGCAAACTCCAGTACAAAACACATGAGAGAGTTAAAACCTGAATTGTTTTTGTTGGGTATCCACCCAGGGAAATATAGTAAAAAAAATGTGTATTTGATTATTTATGTAATAACTACGGCTAGAATTGTATTTGCACAAAATTGGAAAGCTGAAGTAATCCCTACACAGGAAAATGTGATTAAGAAAATATTAGAATGTGCAGAAATGAGCAGATTAACACTAGCAATAAAAGGAAAGGAAGAATCTGATTATTACAATATATGGAGGTTATTTTATCATTGGCTGGAAAATGAATATGGATAAAAAATATTATAAAATAAAATAAATTAGGAAGAGAAATGCTATACCAGGAGATATGTTAAGTTGTAATGTTAAGATAAGAATAGGTATATATAAGGATATGGTGGTAAATTTTAATTATTATGACACAAAAATTTATACTTAGATGACACACTGATTAATGAATGATGAAATGTTTGTACTAAAGAAAAAACAAACTTTTGTAAAAAAAAAAAAAACAACCATGAGAAAGTTAAAAAAAATATCCAAAAATGCTGTTCATCTTTGACATTTCTTGAAGACTATAGCATAAGATGGAATTTATTTCAGCAGAGTCTGTCTTAATTCCTTCTTAAGAAATCATTTTGCCTAAATAACTGGGAGGTCAAAAGCACTTTTTTAAAAAAAATAGCATATAGGTCATATTTTCATAGTTTTTTTCCAAACATTCCTGACACAAGTGGGCAGTTAGCTCACTGTATCAGCTCTTCAATGTAAATCAGGCTTGGGAGTCAATGCCACATAAATCAGTACTACTTTTACTGTAAAGTAATAGTAACAGAATCTTACAAGACTTAATGTGCTTCCCCACTCCCTCCCTTCCTCCCTCCATCTTTGTATGAACTAGGGAGGGACCTAAGACATTTACACATATATTCTTGTCTCAGGCTCCCTTTAACTGGCCATTGCACTGGTAGTAGCTCTTATTTCTGTCCCTATGTCTAGAAAGAAATCAAAATGTTGTCTAATGTGCAGGAGTTTAGAATGCCCATAATACCTCATTCATGAAATATCAATTTGAAAAATGCAAAATCTTTGCTATATGTTCAAATCTCCCCAACTTATGTCAAAGGCTATTAAATATTAATATGTGTCCTTTCTCCAAGTTAAAT